AACCAGCATGTACATTATAGTATCAGGCCAACTTGTCTTATTATCTAGTGGGCACAATATACAAGAGTAAAATTTATTTAACATTGAATTGATGCTATTTTTGTATATTGTGTCTACTGGGTGGAAGTACGGGACTCGTGGACCTGTATCCAATTAGCACAGTGCGTCATAGGCTAACATCAGTCCATACACATAGAGTAATCGACACTAACGTGACTGCATCTATGAGTAAATTCCTAGAAGCCGTGATGAGGATTCGAACCTAAACTTTAGAAAGGGCGTGTGCGTGAGACAACCCACCGCATAGGTTCGAATCCTCTTCACGGCTCCTACGGATTCAGTCCTAATATTAGGTCAAGATTCATAATTCAAACGATACTTCAATTACTCTTAAAAAATAATAATTTTTCAATAAGGGTCTCTTTCCAAGACAATATATTTGGCTAGAAGAAAGTTAAAAAGTAGAGCTAATTAATTAACAAACTCATAATCCTTTCCACAATTTATCACTTTGTTCTAGGCTTCAGGGAACATATTTGTCAAGTTTAGATGTTATTAAATTGAAGTTGTATATATAGGCTCGTGTGAATATTTTAGGTTAAAAGCGAAGTGGAGAAGGAACGACTTGACCGTACCCTCGAGTATGTCTAAAGAGAAATGCTGTCACTCCAATATGGGGAAGTATCTAAATAAATAGTGAAGAATACAATAGGCTTGTATTCAAACAGAGCAGCACCTAATCGGCCTGTTACTGGCGTATCAACAATATGTCTGTACCACTAAATTAAAACTAAACCTTACATAAAAGTTCATTGTTCCTAAGATTGTTATATTGTCCCAGATCGCTACATAGTCGAATCTCTAACATGGTCCCGTGTCGGATATATAATTACATAATTGGTGAAAAAAGTTTGCTAATGGTCCGTATCTCATTAATATATTATGTTTCATATGAACTTCATACAAAATATCAAAACTTATATTATAAGTAATATAATACGATGTATTATTGTGTATGAATAAATTTATTTGTATTATTCATGTAATTCTATGAGGCTTTCGGTTGCTCTGTGGGTTGTTGCTGTTAAAGATTCGCTACCTGGAACAAAAAGTTCCAAGTAGCACGGGCTATGGTGAGCCCGTAGGGGGGGGGGGGGGGGTTTCAGGCCTCTACAAATATAAAACAAGTCATTTATATGCTTAAATGTGGTATATAATTCTTTTATTTGTAAAACTTATTGATAAATAATTTATCATATTTTAACATTAATTGTTAAGAGTATCATGTCTCTCGTAGAGAACATCAATCTTATTTGATTAGGGTGATTGAAATAATTCCTTTGTTAATCAACATTTAATGTTTATGTCCCTAAGGCTTCTTGAACAGTACCCATGGGCCTATAGTGACTCTTGGAGATGTGTTTAGTTAATTTACTAATCACTCCATACACACTGCGACCAGTGGTGGAAGACACTAAGAGAACCGTATTGACCCGGGAGCTGAATCCCAATATTCGTTTAGATAAGCAAGTTACAGCATTGATGAGCTAGTTAAAGAATTTGTTACCATATTTTAACGGCCTATTCACACTTTATCAAACTAACATAATTGTGACCCCCATTAAGACGCTCTAAAACAACAGGCGAGTTCTAGTTTTAGTTTTAATTAGTGATTTATGGAACCCCCCCCCCATATCCATTCCATGGACGAGTGTTCCATAATGGGTCCAAGAGCTGGATCACAACAGTCTATAAGTTAAGCAATATACATTTCCTGTGAGCTAGTTATATATCATTTTATCTTGGGCTCAACACCCATGCAGTAACGTTACCCGCGGCCTCTACCGTCATTATGCAAACTCGGAATACTTGATTAAGATGCATAATAGTACACAAATTTTAATGAAACACACTTTTTTATTTTATGTGAACAGTTTTGTTGATAGAGTTGTTTTTTGTACATTTAGTCAGATCTACTAGTAAAAGGCGAACTAGTCCCGTTGGCATGGGGTACCTGGAGCTTTGCAATTACTTTATTCGCTCTCGTGTTCTTGAGGATATCCTCATATTGCACCCAAAATTTGCCAGTGCAGGCTACTGAACGTACGGCCCTGTATGACTAACAGTCCTGCGAGATGGGGACTTTTAGTACCACTATTATCTTATGCACTCTTGTGTTCATGATATCCTTATAATGCACTCGGAGTTTGCCAGTGCAGACTACTTATCATATGCCTCTGTATGACTAACCATCCTGCGTGATGAGCATTTTTAGCATCACGTTGCTAATTTTTTGCACGCTGTACTCCCCCTTATATAGTCTATGGTAGCTGCACAAATGCAGATGTACCTAAAAATCCTTCAGCTTGTCTTATCGTACTAATTTTATGCTATACTGGGACGACCGGGCCGCGGGGACGCTAAGCCCCGGAAGCACCTCAAGGCACCACCTCAAGGTACTGTATATATATTGACAATATAAGCCTCACCGTTAATAAGCTATACAGTCTTCTATTGCAATGCATCTGTTCACTATAGCCACCACTGTAATGATTTGTATAAATCACTGACAAATAAGGCTTCTAAATCTAAATCTAATTTACACAGTATATAATTATAATAATTACGATTTCTGGTATTATTATGATTTATTTAGTAAATAATGTACTGAATTTGTATAAATTAACTCAGTTATAAATATTTAACCATTTTTGGAAAAAGTTTTGAATTTAAATTCAATTTCAGCAGGAGCTTAACGACAGGAATTTCAATATGGCGCCCAAATGACGTCAGCCAAGCCCTACTTTGGCAACACTAAACCCACTCTAGTAGAAATTATCTGTATTGTGTTTACAGATTGGGTGCATGAGTTGTGTTAGTGTAAAAAGTATATATATTAACGCTAAAATTGTGATATTGTTTTTAACAATAATGAGGCTGATTATATGGAAAACAAGGCGGCAGCCTTTCTAAGATAAATATTTCATCCACTGTTGTGTTATGTAGACATAGAAAAATCTCGTTTTCTATTGTTATAGGAATTGTAATGGCTGCACTCCGATAAACCTAACAAAACTTAATCCAACTAAATCTAACTTATACTAACCTAACCAATCGTAATTCGTAACTTTAGCTAATATAGTGCATGATCCCATAAAATAAAATGAAGTTTATTATTTGCTATACGAAAGATCGACCTTTGTATGTGTATTATTTAGTTGTCATATACATTCCTAGTATTAATGGGTTAATTAATACAAATTTTAATCTAGATCTAAGGCTTAACAAATAAATAACCTACTGTAAGTGGAATTCTTAATTGATTCGATGATGGTTTCAGTCAAGTGACTCATAATATGCAGATCAAATATATATATAGGCATAATTCTCGAATAGGCCTACATATAACGAAACTGAACGTGCCTTGTTACAATTCAATTTGTACTTAAGACAATTCGTCAATTACAGTTTTTAAAACTTAAATAACGTAACTTAGCCTAAGTTTGATTGAATGTTGCCGACGGAGGCGGCTATAGTTTATTGTGTATTCCCATATTCATCTTGTGACGGTAGCGCAAAAAACATTATAGAGGGCAATTCAGTTTCTTTATTTCTAATGCACCCCATACCCATCCTGTGGGCGGTGGTGTAAAGGATTACAGAGGCACATAATCGGTTCAGGAACTGAACCCTCTAGTTCGTTTAGCTAAGCAAATAACAATCTTTTGACGCTAGATTCAAAACTATTAATGTTATATATACATGTACACATACTCATGCATACATGTACATATACATATATACATACGTATACATATATACATACACATACATATTTAATCACCCACACAAATACACACATCAATAATCTTTTGTGTCACAAGTGACAAAAGGTCTTTATCAGACCTCAACGGAGATTATTACAATCACAATTGCATCTATCATGCCCATCTTATAATTATAATGTGAGCTAGTTACAGAGAATTTACTATTTCAATGACTATGTATTTACAATTATACGTTAATGGTAGGTCTTTACGCTAATACTTAACTATTTTAACTATGTAGGTATCACAGGTCATGGGAAAGTTGCTGTTTATTATTATTAGTCTTCACACTACCTAGTAGAAGCGAGAGATGGATACAGTGCAAGGCTTTCAGATATTTAACCTTAGTAAAAGGATGGTTTTTCATTTCCTCCAGCATGAGTTTAGATTTATCTCTAAATGGCTCAATTTTATCAGTCTTAGATATAATGCTCGAGTGTGTGTCCCTGTCTTTGTCTACACACTTTACACTTTACTTCATCTACAGCCCTATATAAGCCCAACTGCCAGAGACACCTGTAGCCAAGTCTTATTCGAGCTGTGACAACGTCTGTTAATCTGCTGATGTTGTTACTTGCCCCGTACACATGTTTTGTTTGATACACTTTATATAAGTGGACAAAACGCTATGGGTGTTAGTGGCTGTGTTGCTAGCCCGGCACAGCATATACGAGCACGAATGTTATATACTCTCACAAACCCAATGTACCCTCTTATAAATAAATAAACAAATGTGTGTGCGTGTTTTAATTATATCCCTCGAAGATTTACATTTGTTGATGTACGTCTGTTTTATATTAGGATTCCCTTATAATGTGTGTTGTGTATTGTATTTAACAGACAAGTTTGCCGACAATATTTCCTAAATTAATAAATATATCTGTACCCTAGAAAAATAAATAAATATATTATTACAAATTATATATAAATTGTTTACATTACCAAACGGGTACAGAAAGACGCGTTGACAAAAACAACATGAAATATACCACATAATTAAGAAACAAATATAAAAACACATATAATATATATATTTATATATTTTCGAAGGATAGTGAGATATATTTTAGTATTGGGTAGAGTTAGAATAGAGAAAACGTGTAGTGTGCGAGGCGACCTCCCCCCCGTGGCCGAGTGGACGGTCCCGGGCGGGGTGCGCCTGCGCGGCAGTGGTGAGTGAGGAACTGTTCATGGAGGTACAGTACTGTAGACTCTTGCTCCGTAGTGTCAACTAACCTCTTGTTTACCTCACTCGTCTTCTAGCCTACTCACACCGACTGACACAATGGGTGACTCTAACAATACTACTAGCATTGCGGACTACCTAGCCCAACTCTTAAAGGATAAGAAACAGCTCGCAGCCTTCCCCAGTGTATTCATGCACGTCGAAAGACTTCTCGATGAAGGTAAGACACACCAACAATACTTTCTAACGTTGTCACCTCCGTAGCAGCGGCAGGAGCTTCTTCGAGTGTTGCGGACACACTTTGCATGTTAAGGGGAAGTAGGTGTAACAGTGAGAAGCTTCAAGGGTTTAGTTAAGCGGTGAGAGAGCGGGTTGTGGAGCCATTAACACGTTGTGGGAGAGTTAGCAGTGGGGGTAGTCAGCTGACGGGCCCCTGGTGGTGGTGGTGGCGGCCCACTCAAACCTCGCCGCTGAAAATAGTTTAGCAGCGTGGGGCTCTTGCTAAGGTGGGGGGCCAGGACTCTTGCTTGGGGGGGGGGGCCAGGACTCTTGCTAAGGTGAGGGGCCAGGACTCTTGCTAAGGTGGGGCATGGTTCCTTGCTAAGGTGGGGGGCCGGGCTCTTGCTAAGGTCGGGCTCTCAGGCTACGCTGCTGCTCCTACACTAACAGTAACCCGTAATATAGCTAACTCCAGGGGGGTCCTGTAGACTGTTTTTAACAAGCATTAGATCGTTTTTTATTTTTGCACTGTTGCACTTGATGGAAAGCTTTTGACGCTGCTCTTATGCCATGAATGTGTGTAATTAACAGCGACAAGGTGTAGTGAGAGTGCAGGAGGTGTGGGTATAAATGAGATTACTAGAGAATTGGTGTTGGGATGAGGTTGGGAGGGTAGAGGGGGCACAGGTGCAGCGGCCCGCCAGACCCTCATCTCACCCTCCAGCAGAATGCCACCCACCAACACCACATCTCACCCCCACACAAACCACCCCCTTGTTGCTGAAGAATCTCCAGCCTCGTAAATTTAGAATTAGTAAGTGCCTCCGTGAATCGTAGGACTGTCTTTGAACAAGGGATGTGGGAGAAATGTTACTAGTGTCGTGGGTGATCACTAAGGCGGGGTGGGACGGGTAACTGTTGGGGGTTCAGTATTTCCTTTGTAACTCGTGGCTGCGTCTTGGGGCCCCCGCCTCACCCTCGTAGCACTGGAGTACATGCCCGCCACCTTCTGCTCTCCTCCTCCTCCTTACCTCTCATCATGTCCCCCAAATGTGGGCACGGCTAGCATCTCTTAAAACTTTGAATGTTTTTGTTATAAAGGAGAGAGATTTAAATTTCATATTAACAATGTGTTTCCAAGTTGATTTTAGTGTTGGCATGCATCAACGTGTCACACTGGAGCAAACCCAAGGGTCTCAGACAAGTGTGTAAGATCCAAGAGACGGTGTCAGGAAATGTGATAGCATCTCCCAATCAGTACGCACTTAGGTAAAGTGATTTTGGGATGGATATCAATGGGGTGGGGTTGGGTTCTCCAGATAACCTTCTAAAAAACAGTTTATAATATAATTAAGTAGTACTTACTGCTCATAAATATATCCCTTGATTAGTTCAAGCGTAGGTTAGCCATATATATGAATAAGTTTGAGTGGATATAAATAGGAGCTGCCTCGTATGGGCCAAAAGGCTTTCTACAGTTTCTTTGATTATGTTCTTATATCGTGTGTGTGTGTTTACACAAATATATACATATACGTTATATATATAATATGCAGAATAATCACAAAATATGTGATTGTTATGCATAAGTATCCTCTAGGAAAATGAAACGAAAATTACGAACGTTTTCGTGTTCCAGTGCATTATCAAGGAAATGCAGAAGGATGACAAAAGTTTGGGATTATGTACTCAACTACGCCTGATTAAACAAAGAACCGTAAGCTAAAACATCGATTAATGGAGGCGAGATGATTAAGGACATTAACTGGGGTATTAAATGGATATTAACTAGTATAAATATTAAATGAATGAAGGAATACCCTGTTAATGTCCACTTAGTCATCTCTCCTCGTGGAATGTGAAGCAACCAAGGAGCTTAGAAGAGCTTCGAGTCCCCCGAATCTTGCAGTAACCAGCCTGAAGTTATCAACACTGCCACTCTTCTGGTAATGAAAGGTGTCCAGCAGCTGGACACCCTCATAAATACTGTCAAGCAGTATCCTCCCCCGCGATAACAGCCACATAGTAAGGACTGACGATTTAAATGCGAGCACAACACGCATAATGTTCTTTCACGACCAAAGATCACATTCACTCCAAAAAAAAAAAATCAACCACTTCAATTCCTGCCCGTGCCACCTCTTGGGTGGCTTAATCTTCACCAATCAATCAATCTGTCATCCTTCTGTATTTCCTTGATGTGTTGAAACACGAAAACGTTTTAACTTCAGTTTCAATTTCCTAGTCGATACTTACGCGCATATATATATATATATATATATATATATATATATATATATATATATATATATATATATATATATATATATATATATATATATATTTATTTATTTATATATTTTGATGTTTTCTTGTAGTAATATATGCATAACTATTCACTGATCACAAGGACAATTAACCAATTTCTTGCTGCGCGTAATTTGCCTGTAGTCGCATAACACAGACCTTTTCCCACAAGCTTCAAAGGTTTCTCAAGCCTTGCCCTTTTCTTGGCGTAAATGAGGTAACTATTCAATTGTTCAGTATTTCACGCAGCTCAACTCCTCACCAACGACCACCCACACGCCGTGGTCACATCATTATATTTTTATAAGAGGGAACTGGAGGGGGGTGGATGAGGGAGAGGGGGACGGAGACCTTAGTGGATGGATGGATGGATGGACGAATGTATGATAGATGGACGGATGGATAGTTGGACGAATAGAGGGGCAGATAGATAAATGGGTTGATGGACGAATAGAGGGGGCAGATATATAAATGTATATATAAGTATGGACGGATAGATGGATGGGTAGATAGATGTATACATAGACGGATAAATAATTGGATAAATGTGTGTGGATGGATAAATGGATAGGTATATATGGATGGATGGATAGATGGATGGGTATATGGATGGATAGATGGACAGTGAGACGGAAATTACGTGCGTGTTACCAGATTCCATTTTCTTCTTGATTTTATTATATTTTTTAGAGGAATTATGAAGTTTTGATTACCTTTCATCTAAGTTACAATTCTTCAATTACCTGGTTAACTCTGACTTTATCGTTAATTTATTAATTAAACCGGTCTGATGCAGCTCAGTTAAACTATGCAAGTTTTTGTATCATTCTTAATTACCAGGGTGTATCTAACAATTAAATTTGCTTGGGAACGAAAATTTTGAATACAAAAATGTACAGTTAGAAGAAAGCTATGAGCACTTTTTTTTAGAAGGGGTAATTTTCCTAGGCATGGAGTGTGTGTAAGCGACAAGACTATGCCAGTTTCCGGTGATATTGGACCCAACCGTATGCACAGTATCTACTCTGACCGTTAGTTGCCGATCTGATGTTTCACAGTAATTACTGTAGAATGGTTTGCCATTTTACTCTTGATGGGGTGGGGGGATGCTACCAGACTACCTTAACCTTCACTAGAATATACTAATTATTTGGCTACTGCGATCAGCTTAGTAAATATGTATCACATTAGTTTCTTTTAACTGTCAGGCGTATCTACTCAAATGGCATGTGGCATCTAACACATTTAATAAGATGTGGTATTTCATTATCACATAAGGGTGGTCTGTGGTGTAACATTTTACATATGTCCAGTCAGATTTGTTGTAACGTTTGTGGGAAAAGAATAATATTTAACATCTTCCCACGTGTGTAAGCAATGTTTTTGTTGCACTGTTAACAATTCTATGTGTAAGGTACAAATTCAGAAGTGGAAATCAGTGTAGTTATATCCGGTTCATGGGTAGAAATGAGTACAATATATTAATGCTTAAGTGAAGTGTGCTGGCATAGTGACTCCCTATTTCCTCAATAATGAATTAGGTTCAATCAAGCCATCCTCGTGTTTAATGCTTCTTGTAACAATGTGGACCATCGTACATATATTGAAGTAATGGACACTTAGATAGAAGAATTTGGTGTTACTCACTTTATGGAGTCCGGGGGAAAAAAAAGCTAAAAACCAGTCTTAAATATTCCTAAGTTTGATATGGCACATATGTACTAAATTAGGCCTGAAATGGTTAGGTTAGGTTTTATTATAAAGAAATACAAAACCTTCCCGTTTGCCCAAATTCATTAGTACCAAATTCTACTTTCAAATTGCCCATTACGTCAGTATCTACGATGGTCCACTTAGATACTATAAGTACAGACACACAGGAGGATGGGCTGTGTTTAATTAGTGTAAAGTGTTTTTCATTGCTTTATATTTAAATAGTTGAAAAGAGTGCAGTTAATTTTCAAGTTTATAATAGTTAAACTTAGATGACAAACTAAATTTGAGAATAAAATACATCGCAAAAGATTATAGTAGCCTAGGCTATTTCTACGCTCCGTTGCCACTATTCAACAAGTGTAGGGAATCGCGTGGGATTCTATTAGTTTTTATTTCCGCATCATGATGCTTTCTCTGTTTTTCATCACTTGACAAAATATTCAGATAAATTATGCACTCGCAAGAGTTCCAAAGTTTAAAGAAAAAAGTTTGCAAAGCTGCAAAATATTAATTCAATACACGGCCTGTATTTTGGTGTAGATGTTGCTTATTGTTTAATAATTGAGAAGATCCTGCATTTTCTTCCTGCAGGAGAAAATAGAGGATAGAACTAGTGAAGAGCAGGGGTGCCATAGGCACAATCAGAGAACTCTATAAACATCAAAGGTCCACGGTTGTTCAATATCCTTCCAGCGAGTATAAGAAATATTGCCGGAACCACCGTGGATATCAAGAGAAAATTTTCTCCAAGGTGTGTCGGACCAACCGGGTTGTGGTGGATATATGGGTGGACCTGCGGGCTGCCCCAAACAACAGCCTAGTGTACCAAGCTCCCACAAGTCACGCCTGGCCTCTTGCCGGGCTTGGGGAGTAGAACTACTCCCAGAACCTCATCAAGCAGTTGTCAATTAAATAGTGCATTCAAATTACACATTGCTTTAATGAATCATTTCATACACGTAGTACGAGTTTGATAAA